CGGTCTCTCCTGCCCGGGCTGGCTTTGAACCGCGATCCTCAGATCTCAGCCTCCTGAGTAACTAGGATTACAGGCGTGAGCCACCAGCGCCCGGCTGAAACTCTCTCTCAAATGTCAACTTAGGGTCACATTTTTCTACTTCTAGAGAGATTTTACTTGAAGGGAGAGAGAAATTAAAATTCCCAACATGCCATCAATGCATTACCCACAGCTCATAAAACCTGCATAGAATTTACCGTTTTCGAGGGTCTGACTGTTACTTAGCAGCTTCGCCTGCCTCCGTTCCAAGGCCAGCTGTTTATTTCTCTCGATCCTTTGTTGTTGCTCTTCTGTTAGGCTTTGACTTGACCCGGAAGCAAACGTCTCACTTGCAGGTGAATTTGGCAGAAAGGGATCTGCTTCCTCAGCTGGTACATCAAGATTACTATTTTGCCCTACTTCCTCTGCAGTGGAAAAGAAACAGCACATCTGGAGTGAGCTCATGCAATTTTTCAGTGAAAACAGTTACAAATGGCAAAAGCCTGTCCTGAAGAAACATTTCATAAGGTATGAGAACACTGCAAATCATACTTGATTCACACAAGCAGAAGTCTTTATACATCACATTAAAGAGGCATGTTTAGTCAAATGGAAATATTATTTGAAATATACATGAACTACGTCATATGTGGGCCAATAAATGCTTAAAGGTTTCATGCATTTGTGTATGTAACCATGTATTGTGCATACTTGCACACATACATGAAAACAATACTTTTTTTTTTGGTGTCAGTACTGGGGCTTAAACTTGGTATTGAGATGCTGCCTCTTAGCAGTCTCACTGAAGATGCGACTCTATCACTTGAGTTCCACTTCTGGCTTTTTGCTGATTAGAGATAGGAGTCTCACGGACTTTCCTGTCTGGGCTGGCTTCAAACTTCCATCCTAAGATCTTAGCTTCCTTAATAGTTAGGATTACAGCTGGGAGTCAGTAGCTCACACCTGTAATCCTAGCTACTCAGGAGGCAGGGATCTGGGGATCATGGTTCAAAGACAGTCTGGGCAGGAAAGTCTTTGAGACTTGTAGCTGCAGTTAACCACTAGAAAACCGGAAGTGGTGCTGTGGTTCAAAGTGACTAGACTTAAGCAAAAGAGCTCAGGGACAGTACCCAGGTCCCAAGTGCAAACCCCACAACGACAAAAAAAAAAGTTAGGATTACAGGCATGAGCCACAGTGCCTGGCTCTGAAAAACACATTTTTGTTTTCTTTTGTATTGTTTTTGTTTTTTGGTAGGTAGTAGAACTTGAACTATGAGCCTGGGCGCTTTCCCTCAGCTTTTCAGCTCAAGGTGAGCACTTTACCACTTGAGCCACAGCGTCACTTCTGGCTTTTTCTGCTTATGTGGTGCTGAGGAATTGAACCCAGGGCCTCATGCATGCAAGGCAAGCACTCTACCACTGAGCCACCTTCCCAGTCCCAAAAATGGGGTTTTTTAATTGTGTGGGGTTTTTTGTTTTTTATTTTGTTTGCCAGTCCTGGGGCTTAACTCAGGGCTTTGGCACTTTCTCTGAGCTTCTTTTGCTCAAGGCTAGCACTCTACCACTTTAGCCACAGCGCCACTTCTGGCTTTTTCTGTTTCTGTGATGCTGAGGAATCCAACCCAGGGCTTCATGCATGCTAGGTAAGCACTCTACCACTAAGCTACATTCCCAGTCCCTATAATTACTTTTTATGATCAGAGGCCCTTACTGTGTTGTGAATGCCTAGAGTCCTGTATCCTATGCTTTTTTCTGCACAAGGCTACCACTTGAGCCATAGCTCTATTTATTTTGGTGGTAAACTGGAGATAAAGAGTTTGAGGGACTTTCCTGCCTGAGCTGGCTTTGAACCACAATCCTCCGATCTCAGCTTCCTGTAGCTAGGATTAAGGCATAAGCCACAAGTGCCCAGATTTGATTCACCTTTTATCCATGAACTTTTAACACATAGTAGGCAGCTCAAAAAGTGCTAAGTAAATAACACTAACCAGTGGCCTAGACAATGGTATTTAACACTGCAATAACTCCTATTACATATACTATCCTCTGCCATTAGCAAATCCCAGATTTTTTTTTTGGGGGGGGGTCACTGGGCTTAAGGTCCTGTCCCTGAGCTCTTCAGCTTAAGCGTTCTACCACTTGAGCCACAGTGCCACTTCCAGTTTTCTGGTGGTTTATTGGAGATAAGAATCTCTCGATGACAGGCACCAGTGGCTCACACCTGTAATCGTAGCTACTTAGGAGGCTGAGATCTGAGGATTGCGGCTCAAAGCCAGCCCAGGCAGGAAAGTCCTCGAGACACTTTTGTTTTGGTCAGTCGTGGTGCTTGAACTCTGGGCCTGAGTGCTGTCCCTCAGTTCTTCAGCACAAGGCAAGTACTCTTGAGTCACAGCGCCACTTCCAGTTTTCTGGTGGTTTTTTTTTTTTTTTGTTTTGTTTTGTTTTTGGTACAGTTGTGGGGCCTGAACTCTGGGCCTGGGCGCTGTCCCTCAGTTCTTCAGCTCAAGGCTAGCGCTCTACCACTTGAGCTACAATGCCACTTCCGGCTTTTTTCTTTTTGCTTATGTGGTGCTGAGGAATCGAACCCAGGGCCTCATGCATGCAAGGCAAGCGCTCTACCACTGAGCCACCTTCCCAGCCCTTCTGGTGGTTTTTATTGGAGACAAAGAGTCTCATGGGGTTTCCTTTTAACAGAAATCCTCAGATCTCAGCCTCCTAAGTAGCTAGGATTATAGGCATGAGCCACCAGCGCCTGGCTCCATGAGACTCTTATCTCCAATAAAACCACTAGAAAACCAAAAGTGGTGCTGTGGCTCAAGCAGTAGTAGAGCACTCGCCTTGAGTTGAAGAGCATAAGGACAGCGCCCAAACCCAGAGTTCAAGCCCCACAACCAACCAAAAAAAAAAAAGAAGTCTCTCAGCCTTTCCTGCTCCGGCTGGCTTTGAATTATGATCCTCAGATCTCAGCCTCCTTAGTAGGTAGGATTACAGGTGTGAGCCACTGGCGCCCGGCTAAAATCCCCAATTATTTAAAGCATCCTCCTTCAACTCAATGACTTTGAGGGATTATAAGGCAACCATATTGTCCCTTGTATCTGCTAAAAGTTATAAAAATAAAACAAAGGATGTATGGAACCATCGCACAGAAGATCTGATGACTATACAGACACTGTCGGCAGGAACCATATTTGATGTGTGTGACTGTCTGTGGTCTGCATTGAACATCTGACAAATGCAACCAGCATAAGACAGCCACATAAATCTCATTCTCACTGTTTCCGGGGGCTGCACCTGGAGTGAAATGCAAATTTTCTTCAGCCAATTACACTACCACAGAGCCACTATTTTCAATGGTGTATATGCTTAGGAAAACTATATCTTCACATGTATTTTTGTATTAATAGGTCTTATAGAAGATCAGTGGGTCAGCAATTGTAAAAATCTCATGGCCTAGAGCTAAAATATATTTTTACAGCCAGAATCCAATGGTTCACACTTGTAATCCTAGCTACCCAGAAGGCTGAGATCTGAGGATCACTGTTTGAAGTCAGCCTGGGGAAAGTCTATAAGACTCTTATCTACAATTAACCAGCAATATACAGGAAGAATAGCAGTTCATATGGTAAAGTACCAGATTTGGGCAAAATAAGCTAGAAGACAGCACCAGGCCCTGAGTTCAAGCCCCAGTACTAACATTAAAATAAAATTTTATATAACATGCCTAATGCCTAATGACATTGCACCCTTATCTTTCAGGTTAATTTTAACAAATTTCAAACACAGTGTTCTAGACTTACTAAAGCATTTTAGCTTGTTCCTCTTGAATGTACTTTAACGACATACACAACATAAACTAAGAACTCAGCTCCATCAGTCAGGTGCTGATGGCTCATGCCTATAATGCTATATATTGAGGAGGATTGTGGTTCTAAGCCAGCCCAAGCAGGAAAGTCCGTGAGACTCTTATCTCCAATTAACCCCCAGAAAACCAAAAGCAGAGTTGTGGCTCAAAGTGGTAGAGTGCTAGCCTTGAGCACAAAAACTTAGGGACAGCACCAGCTCAAGCTCCATGACCATTAAAAAAAAACACACAAAAACAAAAAGCTCAATTCCATGATACTACCAACCCCAACTAGACCAATTTCTAAAGCCAAGTTATTTTGAAAGTAAACTTTGGGAGGGGGGGAGAGGAGGGGGAAAGGGGGAGGGGGAGGGAGATGGGAAGGGGAAACAAAGGAGGAGGCAACAATGCTTGATAAGAAATGTACTCACTATCTTGCTCATGTAGTTGTAACCCCTCTGTATGGCATTTTTACAATAAAAAAAATTTTTAAGTAAATTTTAAAAAAAATAATAAAAAAATAAAAGTAACCTTACATACTTACCATTATTGCTAACAAAATCGTCATGTAGAATAGGGAGATCAAGTCGAATTTGTTTTAAACAGGTCTGAAAACAAGAAGATATTTCTGTATTTTCATCAATAATGTAGGGAGAGGCTACAAAGTTGGCTCAATGGCAGAGTGCTTGCCTAGCATGCATGAGGCCCTGGGTTCGATTCCTCAGCACCACGGAAACAGAAAAGGCCGGAAGTGGTGCTGTGGCTCTAGTGGTAGAGTGCTAGCCTTGAGCTGAAGAGCTGAGGGACAGCGCCCAGGCCCAGAGTTCAGGCCCCACAACCAAACAAAAAATAATATAATAATGTAGGGAGAGGATTGATCATTTACTTATTTCCTAGTTTCTAAAGAGTTGTTCTTGAAGAAACTATTAACTTTCTTCTCCGTCAGGAATGATTTCAAACCACGACCTTCCCTCCCCACCCCAGATAGTAATTTAGCCTCAAGTCAGTGTATCCTTGTGCTATTTGGCACTGTAAATGACATTCTCAATAATCACGGCACTTACCTGAACTTCCTTTTTATTTCCTAGGCATTCAACTCTGTCAATAAAATCCTCAAACTGCAGCTTAGGGAATAGCCGATGTGCCCAGTGCTCCATGTGTCTGATTAGCATCTTCAAGTCTTCAGCCTGGCACATAAAAATAAAAATGCTAAACAGAGGACTCAACCTCACCACCGACCCTGTCAGCAGATTTCAGAAGTTAAAAACAATACCAAAGTCACTTGTGTCATACTTGCAAGGGTGAGAAACTTTTAGAAGGAAATTTCAAGAGAAAAGTATTTACTAACAGTTTTGAGTATTACAAGTAGATACAGATGTTTTATTTGTTGTCTGTTCTAGAGCTTGCCCTCACTCAGGGCCTCTCACTCCTGCTTCACTTTTCACTCAAGGCTGGCACTCTATCATTTGAGCCACAGTTCCATTTCAGGCTTTTTGTTGGTTAACTGGAGATAAGACAAGAGCCAGGCACTAGTAGTTCATGCCTATAATCCTACATACTTAGGAGGCTGAGATCTGAGGACTGCAGTTCAAAGACAGCCGAGGCAGGAAAGTCCATGAGACTTCTATTGCCAATGAACTACTCAAAAAGGCCAGAAGAGGGGCTGGGAAGGTGGCTCAGTGGTAGAGCGCTTGCCTTGCATGCCTGAAGCCCTGGGTTCCATTCCTAAGTACCACATAA